TGCAATGTAACATAGTAATAGCTGGTAATTGCTCGTTGTATAATTCCCTGAATGCCAGTGTTCTGTAAAAGCTGGGACTCGGTGTTTAAAAAAAGAGAAAAATCAAGTAGGATCACCAGCAGGCGATTTCCAATATACTTCTGCCATTCGTTTCGATAAAGGCATGTTGCCGAAACATCAACGCACCTATATCTTCACTCTCCTGGCTTTCTCCGAATAATAAGGCTATTACTACTGTTATTTTAAAAATGAATGAGCAAGAAGCAGCGAGGCGTTGCGCAGGAGTTTGCATCTCGTATTAAAAAAACGACTTGTTCGTAGATCAAGATCAATTCTGCACCAACGAATTTCTTTCACCGAACGACATCAAAATCCGCCCCTCCCATCCTTTCACCAGTGAGTCATCGGCAGCATTTTTGCCCGCTTCGTTTTACCGGCAGATATAACCAGTACGACATTCGAGCGAAGGACACAAGGACAAGGGCACACAACGACGCAGCAATGTGATGCAAACGATGTTTTCATGAAACCCACAGGATAGTTTTGTCGATGTGAAGCGAGAAAGGCGTGTTTGTACATGATCTGGTACGTCAGGTCGTCGAAGTCATAGTCCTGTCTCACCTGTCTTAGTCATGCATTTTATCTTCATGTTTCGCAAACATACATCACCATTTTCTTAAAACCTATAAAACCGCCGACAGAGAAATATGACGCATGGTTGTCGTAAAAACAAGTATAGCACACTCAAACACGTCACACCTTTTCATTCGCTCTGGTGACTGGGAACCGTAACTCATGAAATGGCAAAAGATAAAATAGAACGGCTCAATTTGGAACAAGAAGTGCTTCTCTCCCCTTTTTTAAAGTTTTGTCATCCCCATAATGTTTAAGTTACACACGACTTGATGCGCTTATTAAGTGATAGAGCGGCTTCCCTGAAGTGGAGGGATTCAAACGCCATAAGCAAACGCCGTTCATGAAAAGTCCTTAAAACCCTGGTACCTTCGGTGAGGTCTCTTCGGTTGAGTTGTCCCTGATTTTTCTTTCAGGTGTCTTTTAATTACTTCTCGTCGGTACGTGATTGAACGTCTGGATGGAGCCGCTACCGTAACATATCGTACACAGCCAGTGTAGGTTATGTTGTGAAGTCTACAATCTTCATCAGGATAAACAAATTAGTAAATTACATTGGTTTTCTTCCGCTGATCTTTGTCTTGTTGCAGGTTGTTACGCATGAGGGGACTGCTGATCTCTTCATTTATGTACTAGATGATGAGCTTCATATTTTGGTCTTCGTCGGTGCAAGACACACTCTCGGTGATTACCTGTCCCGTAGTGCGTCCTTCGACTTAACATGCAGTTTATTTGACTTGTGTAGAAAAAATATGATGCGTTCCTTTTTAAACGAAAAGCGTAGCCATAGGCTTTGCACACAGAACGTTTCGAAACTGTTTTTCTTGGATTGTTTTTGCATTCGTAGCTCATAAGAGTGAAACAGATCTTCATTAACGGATACTCCATTACACGGCCTTGCGGATGCTCGAATTGACAAGTGGGCAAAGAAATCAGACATTATCTAAACCGGTAACACGAGGCAAAAATATTCCAAGAGAAAAAGAACACCCCACGAATCTCAAATGAACTCTGCATAAGTCGACAAACGCGTCATACGGCAAGTCACCACCGAAGACATGTCTTGCATCGATACAGGCCAAAACCTGAAGCTCATAATCTGTCATAAAAACAAAAAGATCAGCAATCTCCCATGCGTGACAACCTGCAACAAGACCAAAAGCAACTGACGAAAGACAGTGTAATTTCCTAATTTGTTTGGTTTGATGAAATTGCAGACTTCGAAACATACGTCACATTGGCGTAACGACAACATCTCTATCTCGACGTTTAACCATGCACCGATGAGGAGTCATTTAACAACACCTGAAAGAAAACGCCAGATGCAAGTCACCCAAAGGGACCCCACCGAAAATACCGAAATCTTGAAAAAACTGTCATGAACAGCGCTCACTTATGGTGCTTGAATCCTTTCACATCGGGAAAGCCCCTTCATCACTCAATAAGTAACAGAAGTCGTGTGCCACTTAGACATTATGGGGATGACAAGACTTCAAAATGGGGAGATGAACATGTCTTGTTCTAGACTGAGCTGTTCTGTATTTTGTCATTTCGTGAGTAACCATCCCGAATTACCAGAGCAAATGAAAAGCTGTCACGTGGTTCAGCGTGCTATTTTTGTTTTCAAAACATCCTAGCACCATATGTCTGTGCCATGGCTGTGCTGCCATGTTTTTGTGCTGCTTCAGCGGATGGAAATAGATAATTTCGAAACGTTAGGATAAAATACATGACCACCATTTCGGTAGCTTGATCCTAACCTACCGAACAAAGATAAACGAAACATCAGGTCGGTTGAGCATGCTCAGAAAAGCTCATTAAAACTAAATACGCTTAGGTCTTCAACAATGGCTGCATGAAAGGAATCATTCTGCCAACTTTTGCCTATATGTTGTATATATATATATATATATATATATATATATATATATATATATATATTATGTTTATGCCTTTACCAGGCTTATAGTTTTCTCAACTTGATGGGACGTTATGAGCATGACGTCACATATCGGTCACTCGCATGATACGTTCGTTTTCGTAATCACATTGGTGGAGAGCAATAAATGCGTGCTTACGTTATTGAAATCCGCCAGCCTATAAACAGCCAGCCTGATACAGGTTTTCCAGCCGAAATGTCAGACCATGCTTGGCCCCTGGCCTGGCCTGAGCCGCGCTGAAAGCACCAGGAAAACTGAAAGGACCTCATAAATTATGCCATAAACACAACGTAACATACATAAACCAACAGGGACAACTGTGTCAAGAAAATGAATTATTTGTGTGTTGTTTTGTTATTGGCTGACACAAAAGTACTAATAGCACTGATAACTACATTTGTTTGCAGAAAGTTCTTGTAGATGAAAGACTATTTCCGAACTAGAAAAACTGCCTAGGGACGCCCTTCTCTCAGGCTCAAGAAGTAACCACAGGAAGAAGCGCCTTTTGTGAGATACCTCTGGGCTTTTGCATTCCATACTTGATATCTACGAACATTTTCCAGTTCCAAGCGTGTAACACTTGGCATTGGGCTCCGGAACGGTCCGGCCCGCACAGGGTTAGTTATGCAGCACTCCCCTGCACACGAGGTTTAAACTGGTGCGTGTCACGACGGTGTAACAACACTAGTGTTACGGAAAGACTCCTACGGACGGGAGTGCTTCGACACCAGTTATAAGCGACATAACTGATATTGCAAAAACTTAAACATACTTTACTCACACACGATATTACTTTTACCGCAGACTTATACAGCACATGGATGCTACACGACACAAATTTGTCCTTCAAAACCTTATGCACATAATTACATCTACTCCAAAAACGCATCCAGTCTTTACTTCTACGTGACATTACTTCCAATGCCAAGTCACATAAGACATGAGTGCTACACCACAAAACTTATACTGCAAAACATTATACTGGTCATTACTTAAACGGTTAAGACTTATGAAGTCTTCACTTACACATTACTCCTGCTGCAAAAACTCATACACGACATAACTAATATACATACACGACATAACTATTATACACACATGACATAACTACTATACATACACGACATAACTATTACACATACACGACATAACTACTAACAGCAAAACTTATGCCGCAAAAACAGATGCCAAACACAAAAAATATACTAGTTGCTACTTGTACAACGAAGACCTGATTGCCAGTCCTCGCTGCAGCACTTACGTTGCGTAAAAGTGTTCACAGCAGAAGCAATGCCTTGTACAAGCAATGGCTGTGTAAGTTTTGCAGTATAGTTATTGACGGATATAAGATTTTGAAGCATAAGTTTTATCGTGTAGCACTCGTCCCGCGTATATCTCTTTGCAAAAACAGAAAAGTTGCGTTTAAGTAATGACCGTACATGTTTTTCCAGAAGAGGTAATGATGCGTACACATTTTGGAGGTGTAAGTTTTGTCCTGCAACACTAATGTCGCGTATAAGATTTTTCAGCAAAAGTGGTGTCATGTATAAGTTATGACTGCATACGTGTTTGCAGCAGACGAGTTACAGTTTTTGTAGTATCAATTTTGTCACATAGCACTAATGTCGTGTACAAGTACTGGCAGCAGAGATAATGTAGCATTCCTGCCGGTAGGAGTTTTTGTCGTAGCACTTATGTCGTGGAGCCTGTCACGACATAGGATGACGATATCATTCCATTATAAAGAAGCGAAAGGAGCGACACCTATACGGCACTTTCCGAACATCGCCGACCAGCCTTCAACGGATCGATCCGCTAGTGGCGCTGCATTACAGTATGTACATCACAATGCCGCCCTCCCCTGAGTGGAGCCACACCGCTCTTACGAGTGGAACAGTAGCACATGTTCTCGTCTCAACTCCCAGTGGCGAAGTCGGTGCCTCTAAAACAGCACATGAAAACTGCATTTCGAGGATTTGCCTTTAAAGGTGCTTGCCAAGAGAAGAGAATAAATTTCCAGTGTGCTCCGCTCTGTGGCAGCACAAGAGCTGCAAAATATACCGTTTTAGCCTCCTACTCCAAACTGATACCGAACGACAATCCCTTTTCGATTACTTAGAAGACAGATTTTGATTCCCCGGATAAGATTCATTACGGGCCTTACAACCATTCAAATAACGATTTGACTGCCTGTGTGCAAGAAAATTTTACTTATGCACATGCATTACTCTAACAACATGCATTACTCTTTGTTGTTGATTGGAGTTTACGGGCGCGCCGACTGCGGTGGTCATTTGGCGCCCAACATGCATTACTTTAACAAGAAATGTGTGACAGATAACTATGCATCTATCAAACATTAGAGGCGTGTAAGCCTGATCCCTAAGCCTAAGTCATGGAACGGCGGCGGCGACGACGGTGACTTACATCGACAAGGCCCCGGCTCGCCGTCGTTGTCGCCCTCGACGCCCTCGTAGTCGCGGTGGCGCGTGTCGTCGCGCGCCGCCCGCTCGCCGTCAAAGCCACGTCCCTTCCGCTTGCGGGCCTTCTCCTTCAGCTTCACAATGCCCTCTGAAGCAGGGCACACCCGGGAGGGTTGGCAGTCAGACACAGATGGGAAGGTGCTGCCACCTTGGCTGTGCCACCGTCCTGATGTTCAGTGATAGTCTTGCACATTGCTGGGGGTCAACACGTAATAAGCGGGAGAAAACACACATCTTATCAGTTGTCTATTCAGTAGGAATGCTCTGCCTCATCAGTGCATTCCCATCCATAAACATGAGGCAGAATTTTTTAAATAGAAGCTTGTACATGTCTCACTGTCTTCTCTTGAGTAGTCATGCTTTATCACATGCACTTTTGCCATGAAAGACAACTTGTGCCTCTAAAAGTCAACAGTTGTGCCTGATTGTCTTTCAGTGAAGAGAAGCCTTCAAGAAGTTGGGGAGGATCGGTTTTGATGTATCATTCCACAAAACACACTGCTAATCCAACTGGCTGTGGGCCTTATGCTACATTCCCACAACATTGGAAATTTTCCCCTGCTCCTTTGATTATGTTACTGTTCTTGAATTTCCTTCACACCGCACCCTCTGCTTACTCCTCTGCTCCCGCCAGTGTTCCTAATGATCTCACCTTACCCACTACCATCAGATCATAAAAAACAAGCCAGGAGTCATAACTGCACTAACCACTTGATAGCTAAATGTGGAGATCCAGCTTCCATTTACACATGAATTGTACACAGCATGCAAACATAACACAGTGCTCATGGAGATTGTACTTCATTCAAAATAAAGTTCTGGGGTCCATCAGTATCATAAGCTTCATTTTTGGGTATGGTGAGCATTTCATCAATGAATCATACATGAGATACCACAAAAAGTGGTGCATACTGGAGGAAAAGGGATCTGTCCTATCTAAGCAAGTACTAAAATCTCTCAATTTCCTCTATGCAAATCTGATTTTGCTAGAAGCCTCCCTCTAACACTGAAAGAATTATCCAATATCCGGGTCTGAACAATGATCCTACTCCAGGACCATTGTCAATAACTAAGTCACGCTTCATATTAAAACACAGCTGTACCACAAGCCTTGGTCAGGGTATACATTGCTACCTCATGTTAAGAAAGAGCATTGTACATCAACCGTCGTTTTTAAGGCAGAACATATTGTAATAAATCGTAAAACAGGTCATCTAAGCTCTTACCTTGGAACTTAAATAACTATGACAGCGAACATCCGAGCGCAAACACGCAGCAACCACAACCCCGGCGCCGCGCCATTTCTACACGTGATCGCAACATTACAGCGTGATCACAACATTACTGCGCATCAAGAACCATAAAAATGCATCAGGCCAGGATAACAAGAATTCAATAAAATGTGTTTCTTGTGTATCCAAGCAGTCTTCCATATTGTTTGTAGATTGGTCGACATGGTGGGGAAATATGACACTTTTGCGTGGGAATGAAAAACAAAATGAGAATATGGTGACAAAACAAAACTTCTTAGTATGGCACATATATATGGTATGAAACATGGATGCCAATGGGACACTGGGTTGAAGGGGATAGGGTGGGGGCTAGGTTAGGTTAGGTTAGGTTAGGTTAGGTTAGGTTAGGTTAGGTTAGGTTAGGTTAGGTTAGGTTAGGTTAGGTTTGGCTAGGTTAGGTTACAATGTTAGGCTAGGCTAGGTTAGGTATGTTAGGTTATGTTAGGTTAGGTTAGGTTAGGTTAGGTTAGGTTAGGTTAGGTTAGGTTAGGTTAGGTTAGGTTAGGTTAGGTTAGGCCAGGCCAGTTTAGTTTAGGCTATGCTCTGGACTATTCTGGCCTGTCCATTTCATAAACGTACCTAGACGTGATAAGAAGCGTTTTTCATTGCATTATTATCGTTACCTTGGTCCCGTACATTTTTTATGGTTGACAGGCAGAAATATTGTAATTACGCAACGGCAATGCAGAAACGGCGCTGGGGAGTCAAGACGGTGGGGGTGCATGAGGTAGCTCGGGAACTCGCTATTGTAAATATTAAAATTGGAAGGTAGGAGCATGCATCTACCTGTTTTCAGATTATTTGTGATATGTCCTGCCTTAAACATGACAATTGGTGTACAATTATTTTTTCTAACCTTAGGTAGTGATGTATACCTACACCCAAGCCTTCCCTTACAGTGCTTTACACTTTTTCAGATATAGAAAGACAAAGCCCTGCAGGTTCTGTTCTCCCCACTCATGTGGTTCATGAGAAGGCATAGTCTTGGATTGGGATGTGACAGGTTTTGAGGACCTAGTGAAGACTGATTCTGGACTTCAAGAAGCTGAGGAACATAAACAGAACTACATCAGAAAAAATCTGGACATGAAGATTAAATTTCAATTTTATAAATATTTTATATAGAACATTGAACTTTATCACAAACAAACACTGCACTGCATGCACATGATGCACACTCCTTGCCAACATTGACCAGTTACATTTTATAGCACAACACCAACATCAATCACATCATACCAAGTATCAAAATAATAATTGGGTTGCACTATATAACTTACATAACCCCATCAATGGGTGGAGCCTGGTACACCTGTGGACCAAACTTTTACCAGGCCAAATTATGCTGAAAATGCCACTTTTTACTGTTTGTTAACATATCTGATGGGCCTTTTAGCCTGCATTTACAAGGGCAACAGCAACATTCCCTGAATCATCAGCCTTGTATGAGCTGAAATTGGTACAAGACACAAAGCTCCACTCCACAAATTTACAGCATGTGTGCACTAAAGCCGTTGTAAATTGCTGTTATGCCAAACATAGTCGACACTACGTGTGCATTATGCAGTATATTATCCAAGCCTAGGCAGCCAGCAGCCATTAGCCCGCGTGGGCAGGCATCTTTGCATTTGCATGCCACAGCACGGGAATCGAAAACCAACGATGAACTTACGATCGCCCTCTTCATCAACTTCAAATTCCTCCGGAGCTTCGAGATCAAGTACATCAGCCATAGCTTAGATCACCTATACCAGACCGACTCCTCAATGCCACGGTCACCGCCGTTACACGCAGGGGACTCGTAGTAAGCAGCACCACGAACCGACTCGATTCCACACAAACACGCAGTTCGCGCGTATCGCCACGTTTGTATTCATGCCGGTAACACCAAGGCATGGATATTGGGTGAAATGGAGCAGGGCGTCGCATGACGTCATTGATAGCTTTTGTCAGGTGAGCACATGCTCGTTTTGTATTGGGAGAGGTAGAGCTGCGAATTGCGTGTAACTGTTACTTTTTCAACGCATGTATTTTAAACGTGGACTGAAACGCCTTAAGATGTAAAGGAAGTACATAGCTTTTGCTCGTATGAACGGAAAAAGGTAAAAAAGATCTCAATATATTTTACTCTGCAGCTATTTCAGGACTAAAAAGCAGAGGGTGGCCGCCCCGCAGTTTTTTGAAGAATTGGTCGCGCGGTCATGGCACTCATAAGCTTCTGATTTCACCGACTTTCAAATACGCATAACGCACTTAATATTGTTGTCGAACAAGGTTCTTGTAGCGCGCCGGAGTACTACAAAGTCGCAGATCAAACGACCATAATTTCAGCAACATAATCAATTTGTTCACTATAATTTGCATCCGCTCACATAACTTTGAAACATGGAAGCCCACTGTTGACAAAACGACCGCACCAACAATGATGCGTGCCAGACATAATCCATCCAAAGAGAAGCAGGGAAGCCTAGTCGTGGCGTAGCGTTGTGGGCATATTATGCAGTGGTGTACGAATGTTTCCAAATGAGTCACCAGGATGTGATGATGTTCAGGATTCTTGCTTCAAATTTCCAGTCACGTGACTTTGAATTTTATCATCTTCAGGACTGTGTTTATTTAAATATTTATTAAGTTTGAAGTTGATTTTATTTAATTATGTGTATTATTTTCATTTATGTTTCGCAACAACTAGGATTGCGATATTTCTAGGATCGATTCGCGATTGACTCGTGATGTTTGTTGAATGATTCGGAACGGATTCAAACCATGGTTTCGTCCGTTACGAATTCATCTCGGAGGGTACATCCATTCCGCATGAATTTTCACACATTCGATGTTTGCCTGTTGATTATGTTTCAATTGACAAACATATATTCACAGCCAGAGAAGAGTGGCTTTAATCCACCTAACTTATGCTTATTGTGTGCTATATTTTTTAAAGTAGTCTTCGAACAATTCGTTGGGCACCCACGTTGAATCTGTTCGACTCGGATCAGCTCTTTGAAGGAGAGCCAACGATGCAATTCATAACTTGCATTTGATATTTATACAAGAACTCCAAATCAGTTGAGGCTCATCAAAAATGTGACTCATGACTAATTAATCAGTTCATCTTGAATCAAACAAAGGTCTGGCCGGATCCTTGCATGTGCGCGGTATTGTGATATGGAGCGTGCTCGGGTGAGTAATGTCAGTCTAGTGGAAGTTTTTTAAGTGTTTGCTAAGAGGAGTGTTCTCGGCTATTTTTACGTCACATAGGTCCTCATTACGCCGCTCCCTGATCATTTTTTTTCGCCGATGTATGTAACGGTGAAATGGAAAGGATATGATTTTACCCTGCAAGATGACATGATAACTGCCCTGGCCACAAAATCAAACATCTACATACATCGGCGAAGCAGACATAATGAGCCGGGAGCGTTTCAACAAGGACCTGCGCGATGAAAAAAACTCCCTCAGGTGAACACAGTCACACCCGACCGAAATTGTTCACCTGAACACGCTTCACATCCCAACACTACGCACATGCAAGAATACGGCACAAACGAGAGAACACGACAGTCACTGGGAACTCGATATAAAAGACCGACTCCGAATGTCAAAACAGTTTCTTTGACTCTGATATGTCTCCGTGAGGCGTCGAAATTCTGTGAGAGGGAATGAAAGAGATAGTGCACGTATTAATGGTGTGGGTGAATAGGCCCGGTGATGTGCAATGTTTACCGCCATTTGATTCGCTGACTAAATTTCATGCATTGTTTTAGTGGTGTCCTGTGTGTCTAGAGTGGTGTCTCTAGTGGTGTGTAATGTAATAACTGCGCGACTAACTTCGAAAAATAATCTTTGTTAGCCTAGCTTCGGAAAGATCATACTTAAAATTGTGCCGCTTAGGGTCCATGGGGAAGGTCAGCTTTCATACTTACGTTTTTTTAGGCATTCAAGAGCGACAAATCACTACAGCAACCGAGACCAGACGCCCTGTGATCAGCGATAGCGCGATGAAATGCACGTGAGCTTAGTAGACGATATCAGCTGCGATCTGTCGGCCGGGAAGCCTCCGGCCAGCAATTCTTCGCCCCGCAGGCGGAAAACTGTTGGCTGACAAGCTGTCCACAGGAGCTTTGTTGTCAAAGGGCCTGTCGTCTCTCAACCTGAGGACCTGAGACTGTGAACCGAAAGACTTGTAGCTTGACAGCAACTGTGTGTTGCAGAAACACGAGCAAATAGCTGTCAGCTGGGGCTTTCGAGACAACAAACAGATCGACAGACCTTGTAAGACTATACAGCGTGGACGCGTGATAGCAGTTACGTTCGTGTTCTGCACGTTGTGTACATTCCACCTTCCAAAAACATTGTATGTCCGCTAATTTCGCTAGGAGTCAACAGAGTTCTCTGAATAATCCGCAATGTGCCGCACGCTCACGCAGCGCAGCTCCATCACCCAAGCGGCCTTTGCGATTTTGTTGTGCGACAACACGGACATGGGACGATTCAGTAAAACATTTTCAGCATCATTCAGTACAGCGTGTTTTCCTGCATAACAGGAACGCAGTTGCTTCACGTCACACGCTTTGGTACGGACTAGTTGAAGCGAGACACGTCATAAGATTAGCATCTCATCATCTTGGCCACGCAGCGTAAAAGGCGGTCTCCGACAGCACCAGGCCGCACGACCCCCAGCTCATGCGGGGATCTTGTTGTTCTTGATCATGTCAATGAGCTTCTTATTGAGCTCGGTGACGATCTTTAGCGACTGGTCGCGGATGGGCTCGTACTCGCCGAGCGCGCGCCGGTCGGCGGCCGTTTCACTCATCTGGAAGTTGTTGCCCTGCAGCGTCGCCAGCTTGCGTTCTAGCGACGCCAGCTTAGAGTACGTCTCGTCGTGCTGCCCGGACACGCGGGCAGATGGTCAGCGGCGGGCCGGTAGTGCGGCTGCGTCACATGTCGGGCGTTTGAGGTCGTGGACACGACTTCAGCACGGCCACCAGCAGGCAGCACGAGTGTTCGTGGCGATTTGTGCAGAGTAGGGTGGTAGTTTGTGTGCGGCCCGTAGGTCAGCGATGCATGTGATGCACGAGCAAATCAGTGCCGCACTAGACCCATTTTGCCGTGTTGATAATTGTTGGAAGCAAGAACAAGCTTTTTGACAACATTGGCCACGTAAGCTTGAAAACCGGAACGATGCGTCAGAAGCGCTGGCCAGGGCGACACAAAGAACAAAATTTTACATTACGTTTATGGGACTTGCATCAGCAACCACACGCACAGCAAAAATATTCTGTGTGCATCTCACTGTCCTCGGAAATTATTTAGTAAGCTGCGAATTTGAGATCACACTCTGAAAACCACGGTCGGTGAACATCTGTGAAACCATTAATATTTCTTTCAAATGGTGGAAAAAGTGCAACGGTCCCTGGTTCACTACTGGCTCATTAATAGACAGCCTTTACCATTTTGTGATGCAAATTGACAGCGAGATAAGATCCTCTATTTCAGTTGTCATGAACGCGTCTTAATACGTGTCCCACTAAATTGTGGCAGTCAGGAATATTTAACTAACTCAATTCGCCTGACGCACACGATGTGATGCCGCGCTGAGACGTGGAGTCTGAGCCACGATTGCCAACCAAAACGATAGGACAGGTGAGGACAAGTTGCCTTTCGGCGTGTCATGAATAAAAGTAGTCGCACGGATGGTGGAGAATGCGGGATGACAGATATGACCACACCAACTTACTTTTGACGGGTGAAATAAGCCAACTTTTGAAAATATTAGCGCAGTGTTAAGATATTACTTAACGGTGCCGATTCAACAGTTCCCACCTTTCACAAGATTGCAGCTGTTCCTGCGAAGCATAAGACTTACATTCAACGCCGACTGCATCTTTTTGTTTTGGTTCTCAGCTGTCTCGTATTCGGCTCTGGCCTTTTTGCACTTGTCAGCCATGTCCACGTGCTCCTTATGAAGATCGGCCTGTCGAGCCTGTCGACAAACCCCACAGCTGCAATACGAATTTCTGAGCCTTAGAGGTGCCGCAACCACGCCGGTGATGTAGCATGTCGAGCTGCACGGAGAGAGGATAATGATGACACATAACGATGACATCGGCTATTGGTGAAACATACCTGGCATTCTTTCTTAAAGCCATCTAAATCCGCGAACTTGGCGGCGTCATCCTTCATTCTTTTAATGCTGCTTTTTAAAGATTCCATTTCAGAGTAGACTTGGTGCTCCACGTCATTGAGACGTTGCCAATCTTCGTTGTCAGCAAGTCCCTGGTCTCTGAGGACGAAACGGCAGTTCGATGTGAATCATAATTGTAGAAATGACGATGGCTGCCGCATGTGATTTATGTAGGATTTGGTTCACCCGACGGACATTTTGATTGTCGGTTAGAGTTTTGTTCGCGACGAACATAATTTTTTCCATGTGCTTCAGTGTGGCAGCGTTTTGGTACACGATGCTGACATTACAACAGCGTAAAATGGGTATATTTACAGTGTTCTGCGTTTGTTGGGTTCAAAACTGTCTTTCCAATTCGCATTTTGTGACCATTTCTGAAGAACGTAAAATGAGAACCGTGTCGGCACGGTAAATTCATTTAAACAGCCCCCGCCAGGGACGAAAATTAACGTCCTTCGCATTTCTGACACAGCTTCCGGATCGTTTACAGTAAGTCCAACTATTTTGTATTTTTATTTATTCCCTGCCAGCAGATCAGCTTGACACATGATGGAATAATAAAGCGTTCGATGACTGATCAGTTCATTACGTTATGACGGCATCTGTAAACGCCCGCACAGCGATATTCTCTCTGCACGCTGTAATTTCCAGATTGCCTTCTTGTTTTGAATTGATTTGGCGCAGTTGATCGACCTGATTGAATGTTTGCTTGTTATGGTTAATCGCAATCCGCAATCTCACACAAGGACACCCACAGAGGTCATATGAGGTCAGGTTGTGTTGAGCCGTAATGATTTCTGTCACAACCGAATTTGTGAGAAATAAATCTGTGTAACAAACACAAGCCCAAAACAATAACTACTACAGGATCATGCGAGACGGAAGATAACAAATTACATCCGTTCAGGTGACCCGATCGTCTACTGACATGACCTTGGCCCGGCTGAACCTTAACCCATGCCAACATTAAGACATTTTTCTGAAGCCTATCGGCATGGTGTTTTGTTTAATGCCATTTGCAAAGCCCTACGATCAAAGTTACGCATGACAGGACGTCCTTAAATCATTCCAAGACTTATTCGATTTATTTATTTTTCTCAAACCCTGTCTTCGTGCGGGTGGGGTTCTTTTTATCTCCTCACCTGGTGGTTTTAGCAGTCACCTACATTTTGAACCATTAGCGCTGGTGTTTGGCAACCGTTCCACGGCTCTTTGAATGTGCTCGGACGATGTCTAACTGAAGGGAGCTTTAGTAACGAGCCTTCTGCCTCAAGGATGATAGCATTTAGGTGATAGGTGATGCATGTTATCTGCCAGCGGGAACCTACCAAAAAATTGGTGATGGGTTTGCGTTCTTGTCATCCTGGCGAGACAGGCTGGGCGACTTATGGAAAGAAGGATATCATGCTAATAGGTGTTACCAAAGGCTTCCAGCAATGAAATGCATGAAGCGACACTTCGCATAAGCAAACAGCAAAACTGCATGTCGCAGAGACAAAGCCGGGCGATTTCATTGTGAGAACTGCAGTGGGCACCGATTTTGAGGTGAGCAGTTGACACATACGGTTATGGCTTTTCTTGTCTGGATGCTGACACACTTCGATGTTGACAATATGTCAGAGCCATGCGCAGGAATGGACAGGAGGGGTGTCAGGCGATATGGATGGGAGAAGAATATCTTTCTCCAAGTTGTTTTTTGGAAATGACTCTAGTGATGCAACTTATTTTGTCCCGTCAGATTATTTTGCATATGCACACTATTTTGAGAAAAAAAAACGCAACACGGGCGGGTCCTGTGGAGTAAAAAGGGCAGCATCATGCATCTTACTTTGGTCACTGACTTTGACGCGTCGATGCGCAACATTTTCACAGGATAGCTTGATTGACAATCAAATTGATCATCTTATTAAGCATTTCCGCATCCGTCACTGGCAGAAGTAACCGATCAATTTGTTGAATCATACATGAATTGTGAACTACCCATGGAGGGAGTTAAATGGTAGAAACTGATAGCTATTGTTTGTAACCTATCTTGAGCATACGCACGGCAACCACTGATGTTTCCAAATAGTTTATTTCTATACTTAAACGGTACAGTGCTTCCTAAATGTAAGGTATGGCAAGTATGAAAAGGGAATTAAGATGACCTTAAGATGATTATATGCGTGATATTCGTTAAGTAAGTTGCATTTTTTTTAAATTTTCGGCCACGGACCTTGCTCACAGTCAAAAATTCAAACACGAAACATATCATTTGAATATATTATACATTCAAATATGTTATCAAATAAATTATGCAAATATATCACTTGAATCTTTGACTCAGTGAGCAGTCCTGTGGGCAAAAATTCATCAAAAATGCAGCTTACTTGACGAATATCACGTATGCATCATTGTAAGGAGGTGATTTTAATTCCCTTTTAATAGGTTGCTTTTATTCCTGATTGCATGCAGCACTTGCAGGCACAATAAGCAAAGTAGTTTGAGAAGCTTCAACAACCAGTGATGCTCATTCCCAGCCCCCTAAGTCTATTCCCGCACCATTGTGTGCGTGCCGTTGAAATACGCTGAACACGCGCATTACAAAACTTGCATTCACCTCATTGTCCCTGCTGTTTTCGCCATGGATAGACGTTTAGTACCTTACATCCACAGGGCAAAGTTCGCTGCATGAAAATGGTGTGATTGGAGCTGCCCGACCTGCGATCAGTCACGTCCAAGACGTCAGCTGAACGTTTCCCCAGTAAGGACGACCCGGGCTGCCGGTTGTCTCTCGGTTGTTTTCCCCTTGGGAGGTGAGATCGAAAATATCAGGCTCCCCTTCCCCTCAGGCGGCCACAGTTGGCGAAATAGCCCGGACGGTGCATGGCTGCATGGAGTGCAGGTCCCGGAAAAATCGCGGGCACGTGCGGTATAGGTAAAGGTATTAGTTTCTGAAACAGCCACGAACTATTCCAGGCTCCCTAGCATGTTCATTCAGACCTGAGCAGGGTAAGGCGAACAATTTCACACATTCTGGTGAAAATAGTATTTTCTGTGCCACGCAAGATCATACAGTTGCGATGAAGGTCTATGAAACTGTTTGTGCTTTTGCAGATAGCAAATCTAAGCAATTTTAAGTTTTGCTGTCGTGTTTGAATTGCTGTTATGTAGTTGGTGAATTGGTTTGACCGTGCGTCATTGTGCAATTGTTGAATTAGTTTGGGTGTGAACATTTGGTAAAATGCAGGGTAACATCGAGCTGCCAAAAACAGTCGCGAGGTCAGTGTCAAATGTCAAGCTAAAACGACTCCTGCCGCCCACCCTTGATGAATCAAGTGGGTAACAGCTGTTACTGACCACTGACTTCTTCATTACAAGTCATAAGTCATCGTTCATGTGACTGAAAAATAATAATATTGACGTTCAGCACGCGAACTGTCGCAACCAGGGCATGACCCTTATCCTTGTGAGAATTATAGTGCTTTTTTAGTTTGGTGCTGGTTACAAAGCGGCACGACTGTTCTTTGCGGGTGCTAGAGCTCTCCCGGGTTGTCGAGGCCTTTTATTACAATTTGTCGAGAATTTTATGTAACATCTAACGCTCAGTGTAAGAATAACGGTTTCAGCGAAACCTTTACCATTGTCCGACGTTATAACAAAGAACGCCACTGACGCTCCTTTTTTCTTCAATTTAAGTCACGGGATGTTGCAGGCCATTTGGTAAAAAAACGGCAACGAAACTCTGTTACGAAAAAGCAGACAATGAAGCTGTTTAAGTATTATAAAGCTCTTTGTGAGACAATTTCTAGGGCGGCACTGCACCACAATCGTAAAGAGACGACAAATTTTACGTCAAATAAAAACGCCACTCTATCCACGTCCGTCAATCTAGCTGCAGCTTGGTATGCAGTCGCCATTTTAATATTTCAGGGCATCACGGTTACCTCGAAATTTGATGTGCATGGCCTTCTCGATACGCTGATTTCGAAAATCACTGTCTGCGGCGGGATTTTGCGTAACTTCCAAGTTACACGTCGCGTCAGTTTTACATTGTGAGGCGTCTCAATTGCCCCCAAATTTGGTGCGCAGGGCCATCTGAATGCACTGATTCCGAAAATCACTATATTTGGGGTGGGATTTTGCGTAACTTCCGAGTTACGAGAAGCGTAACATTCCAGTCTGATAGTGCGGGGCGTCCCAATTGCCTCCAAATTTGGTGTGCAGGGTCTTCTCAACACGCCGATTCCGAAAATCACCGTCTTTTGAGCGGGATTTTGCGTAACTTTCGAGTTACACGACGCGCATCACGGCAGTGTGATATTGCGATGTTACGCGCCTAAAAAAAAACGTCAGCACGTGAAGGAAAAGTGCTAGCATGATAAAAAAAAACGCTGGTTTGCCGCCGCGTCTTCATTGTGATAACATTCCGGGGAGCGCCGTTCTTTTTTCGCCAGCGAAGATGTGCACACTATTTCGGAGAGGCTATTTCAAAGTCACCCGGGCATCCATGACGCCATAATAACGTCATTCAAATCTTGTCATTAGCCATGCGGCGATCTAGGCCAATAAAAAATAAAAGTCCCAGGTCGATCATATCCGGCGTTCTTGGGTACAATTTAAAGACAAAACGGCCATTTATTGGATGTTAACGGCCATTAACGGCCATTAACGGCCACCCACTGTTGTTCCAAGTATGATGACGTATTTAAATTATGACGTATCAAGGAGCCTATTTACTAAACAGGAAAATTTTCTAGGAGTCTTTTCCACTTAAAAAAGTTATAAATGATCCTATTTCATCATGTATGATGCTTGCTTCAATATCTCCATGTGAAACGTTCCCCTTAACGCTAAAACGAAGGGACGCAGGTTCACCCATAGCATATGATAGGGAATAAAGGTAAGATGATAGCGTGTTTTGCCACATCACCTTAGTGGATACTACGCACCTGACGTCCACAGCTAGACAGGACCTCAAGGGAATAGGTCCGCTGTTTGCTCCAGTCGCTGTGGGATTTGGGCTGTTTGGAAAGGTTTAGAAATGCGGGCAAGGTTCATATCGTTCAAAACTCAGCCAGCACGAGTTTTACGAGCATATGCCCATGCGATTAGGCGCCGTCGCAAAAAGAAACGCACGTGCTGCCGGAGCACTGGTTTCACGCACCCAGTGTTGGGATGGATGAGGCAAGCTGGTGTCCTGCAAAACACTGCAGCCGTCACAAAGCCTACTTCAGTAGGAAAACTTACGCAGCGTTATCACTGTCTGTTTTCAGTCCATTACTGATATTCTGCAGGAGCTTCACGATTTCCACCTCCGTCTCCAGAACCTTGCGTTCTTCGTCAGACTTAGCCTCTCCGATTTGACTGATTAGCTTTTCCGTGTCCACAGAGTCCTTAAGCAGCAGTGAGGTCAAATATAGATTAGTGGTGATGACACTGAAGAACAGACCATGCAGTGTTCATCTTCATTTCTGAATTAAATCTACCAAGAAAAACACTTTTTTGCTCTTTGTTTTGCACATGAACAGTTGCATCATACTTTGCTTTAAGGCATGTTTAAGTTGTTCACGTTGCAATCAGTATTCAAAATTGATAAAATACGAGTAACGCAGCGGGAGATTATGACACTTCTCACAGACAAATGCTAAAATACCAGCATTTTTCTCGTAATAACAAAAATACCAATATATGTATAACACTCGTGACTGGCACTCTTTGGGACTTGTCTGTGCGGGCGATTAGCAACAAAGGCCCCAAATTCAGAAACGCCGGGAACGCAACTCCCGCAGCACAAGAAAAAAGCCCACCGCCCATCGCCGGTCCTTGGATTCGTGTCTCCCCTGCCGCACCTAGCAGTCCACCCACGCCTCTTACACGCCGCTGCTCCGCCTTGAGCGGGTCCTCGTCCTCGTCTTCTGCGTCGTCCAGCTGGTCATTGGCGTCGGAGATCTCCTCGCAAATGGCCGCAACTTTGCGCTCCATGGTGTCAATGGCTTCAGTGTTCTCTTTAACCTGGAAAGATATGTGTGACAGCCGAATACCATACGACCTAGCGCCGTGGTGATCACTGAGACAGCTGGCTTATGAAACACTGTCACTTGCAACGCCTTCCTGAACAGCTCCTGGATACCGCTTCAGCATCAGGGAGCTCATGAGTTCACGAAATGGTTTAATCTTACTTTGTCAGTTCTGCGAGTAAAGTACATGTAAGACGCATTTGGAAGAGTTAGAAGCAGCTCCCGGATTAGCCCTAACGGCGGTCCTCAGAAGTCCGACAATGGCTTCTGAAATAAGTCTGGCAGTTCGAATAATGCCTATTTTCCTTTGGGGCGGGGGGGAGGGGAGTCGTGATATCCAGCATCGTCATGCAGTATTCAAAACGCAAGGTAACTTTAGGCCGCGCCCAAGAATGTGTAGGCGTGGCCTTAAACGACAGCAGGGTCAACATGCATTGTGTGCTGACCTCCGCCAGGAGTCTCTCCCTCTCCTGGTCCGGAGTTTCCTGCCTGTTGACTTGTTCCTGCAGTTCCTCCTTCTTTGATTCCAGCTCCTCCAGTTTGTTGTATAGCTGGTAAGCTTCTTTTTTCATCTGCAAGGGTCAGTGGTCACTAGAATTGCGTAAACGTGGGAACAATGGCTATTGCGTCAGCACTCGATGTCTCAAGCCGCGCTTCACATCACGATCGTGGACATTTCACAGTTTGCAACGCATTGACAATATAACCAATGCTTCCAAAGTGATAACGTCATTTAACCAGGGCATCCTGGTACACTGAAGGAGATAATTGTTAGCATGCAGCCTCCGACGTCATAATGCTAAAAAAATAGGAGCGTGAGACCTTACTTGCTTTGATGGAAAAAAACAGACCGCTGCCGTAGGATCCACCTATACAAATATGTGAGGGTGGCATATGCAAAGCACACACAGAGCAGTACGACATGTTCGCTTTTGTTAACCCGCGTATGGTTCGTTGTATGAACATTGCTAAATAGCATCGATAATAACGGCACTGTCTGACGACTAGAGAATCAACATTTATTGGTCACCTGATCTGGAGTAGCCATGACGGGTAAGGAACAGATATTTTATCAGATTTTTATCCCCTCTTTTTTATCACCGTCCCACATGAAAAAGAGGTACAGGCTGCATCCGCACCCTTCTTTAGCAAAGCTAATGCGGCGATCGTGTGAGGAACCAAACAGCTGACGTACTGATGACGCGTTGATAACTTCCATGTTCTTCTTTATTTTGATCTCTTCTTCGTCCATTTGTTTGGCGACTTCCTGTATAACACTCTCAGCATCTGCCGTTTTCTTTTTGAGTGCTTCAAACTTTCCTTTCATCGCTTGAGACATGGCGTTGAAGACTTTGTCGATGGTCGCTTGTGCCTGCCAGCGGGCGGATGCGCAGACGTGGGAGGTCATCATTCAGCGATAGTGCAAGGCGACCTAACTCTGTCCAAGTCGAGGCACAAACCAGTTCAAAACACAACTCAATGCGCTATGCACGGAAGCTAAACAAATGTGGATATCGGACCTTAAGAAGTCTCACTCATCAGAGTGATTGCCGCACCTCAGCTATGCCTTTCTCCGTTTCGGCGATATCCGCCTCCTTCTGCTTGCGGGTGAGGTAGAGGCCGTCCACCTTCTTCCGGTCGTGCTCGTTCTTCTCCTTCATGGCTGCCATCTGCTCGTCGACGGCCCGTTTTTCCGAATCCATGTTCATTATCTCCACCAGCGTGTTATAGTCGGCCAGCTCTGCCTGAATCCCTACACGGCCGGTCGGCACGTGCGGAGGTCAGTTACCCTCCAACGCCGATACCAGTACGGCTCTCAGCGTTCATTGAGCGGCGCCGATCACGTGCCCCTAAGTGTTGCTCGAAAAGCATGTCGGCAAAAAGGACGTGGCGAGGGGAACGCTTATTAGACCTGTTAACTACTGCAACATCATGCATCGTAAATGCTATGGGAGAAGCATACCAGGCGCCACGATACAGTGATAACACGAGGCAAAAATCAAATACATCCGAACGTCTCTCGGGGACTTGACGTGGCGTTCACCTCAAGCTCCGGAACAGCATCCGTCCTCAGCCCCTAGAGCGGACTTACCGCTCAGCTCGTTGGCCTTCTCTTTGGCGCGCGTGTCATAGATGACGAAGGCGTCCTGGTCTTTGCCCATCTTATCCGACTCGGCGGACATGCGGCGGATCTCGGAGCTCATTTCGGCGATCTTGGTGCGCAGCACGCCCAGGAAGTAGGATTTGTCCATGACGGCGCGGTTGCGGCCGCCCGTGGCGCCCGTTTTGAGGCCCAGGCCTCCGCGCGTCATTGGCCGGTCCGGGTCCGCCTGAGGGCCCGTCTCGTCACTCACGTCACATCACGGGCGACGCCACGGACGGCACGCAGGACGTTGAGGGCGTTAGAAGCGAGGGACGAATCGTAGCTTTGCTGCAATCGACGGGGAATGTCTGCGTGTAATGAATGTGAGTAAATTACATTATTTCCATCCACTTTCAAGCATACTTTCCCATTGCCACGTATCAACAGAATCTGTGAAGGCAGGTGAGGAGCATTGGTTTGTACATTTCACAACACGCTAGCGCTGGAATGACTGCCGCCGACGGAGCACGGCAGTGAATCGCAGGAAGCTACAACTTTACAAAGATGAAATTCTGTCCAGAACACTGTCATGTCTATGCGAGGAGAACGAACGTAAAGGGGCCACGTCCCGTAGCGTTCCGTCTCATTTAGACATTGCAAACATGTGTAGTCAGGTTCGAAAGTTCAAACCAACATGTGCAACACTTTCGGATCGCACGTGTTAGCCAGCTGAGCTCATACCCCTCCGCCGAATCCGCCTCCTCCTGCTCGCTGGGCACCAGTGGCCAGCCGCTGGCCGGCAGTCGCGACTCGGGCAGCGGCGGTGCCCTGGCGAGCCTGAGTGGTTGGACGCTGCGCCATCTCCCGGCCTGCCAGCAGCGCACTCTGTCAGCAAAACCAGCCAGCTGTGAGGGTCACATCATGTACTTCATGCTATACACACTCCTTGTAACGCGTTCACGGCAAACGTATGCTTGACCTCCCTTTGGAATCAATTCCGACTTCGACTTACAGAGCACTGGGTTTTCACAGATTTTGCCCCCGCTCTTGCTTTCAGCCAGTGGTTTACACTAGATGCTGGGCGATTTCACAGGCATTTCGTCCAAATTTACGGGATTTCTGAGGAAATGTTACGTTTGCCCCTTATGCGCCATATCAGTATGCATATGGCGCATATGTGTATATGTATACATGCATATATAAATATATATATATATACATATATATATATGTATATATACATATATACAAATATATACATACATATATATATTATATATATATATATATATATATATATATCTACAATGCATAAAGAATGGAAGATTCTCAGTCGAGCAAGGGATAGGCTCTGCCTAACATTCCAGAATGGCAAACCAAAGCTGGAGTGTCACATGTGAATAAATGACCACGTAAGGATCGGGTTTTGCAAGACATTTTCCACTTCAGACCAATTACTGTACTAAACTCTCTCACAGGACACGAGTACATTAAAAGGACTTCGTACGAAGTTGCGAATGTCGTGGCAGCCGTGCAAATAGATAGTTTTATATTCATGGCTGGTTTTGACGCATTTGGCTTATTTATTAGCGTTCCTTTGCAAGAGACATTCCACATTTGTGTGAGCACCTTGTTCTCGACATGCACTGCCGCGATAGAAATAACCAATATATGTTTCAGGTCACTCCTTGAGCTTGCTGTGACGAATTCGTTCTTCATTTTCAATGGCAAGTTATATAAACAGGCAGAAAGGGATAGTGTGGGTCTGTCGTTGGGTGCTCCGTTCGCTTACACTTAAACGTGTCATTATGACAAGTTCCGGCTTAGTTCCCGTCCAACCGAGTTCTCTCCCGTCTTTCAGCGTACTTATGTTGACGATTGCCTTCTTCTTTTTAAGAATAGGTCTCACCCTGCCGCAATAATTGATTTCTAAAAGAGAAGGCATCCAAACACTAGACTAACGACGTAGGCGGGTTCAGATGAAAAAAATCCCTTTCTGGAAGTCCTCGTCCACAGCGTGATCGTCTTTGTACTTCGGTGCACAGAAAGCCTACTTTAACCGGGCCGAGAACGATTTTTTTCAGCGATATTACAGATTCGAGGAAGCTTAATACCGTATGGACGGTTATCATTAACGCTTACCATCTCAGCTCCACTTAGTGGCTTTTTCACGTTGCAATAGAATGCTTAAAGAGGCATTTCCGAAATAACGGTCGTCCCTTGCCGATCGTTCATTTATTCACTCAGAGGCTCTTCTATTCTAGGCATCTTTGAGGCCTTTTGATGTACCGAAACTCAAGAAGTATTTTGTTTTACCGTACGTTGACTAAGCATGATCGAGTGATCGTCCAATTGATCAATCGAGAGACGATGAGTTGATCAGTCTCTCATCAAAATTTAGTTAAAAATGTTTTACATGATAAGATTATTCTGGTGAACTTCTCCTCAGTAGGTTCCTTCTTCAAACATGAAGATAGATTACCTTGATCCATTTTTGTGTACGAGTTTTGTTGTGCCTCGTTTGGGGCATCATGCATGAGTTCCACACTTAGGAACTTGCACAGTCGCATTCAGTAGCATTCAGGAAAATCTATCCAGGGGAAATTTTTTTGCAAAACCTGAACCTTCACCATACGAGAACAGCAATTAACATATGACGCTGCGGTTTTTGTCTCCAAAGTTAGTATCGGAGGCAGTAAACATTCCTCACTTGATTTGGGAACCTTTGTCTCTATTCATTAGACAAACATTACTTATCGTTATCATTAAAAACATTATGCATCAACACAAAAACATTATTCAGCGCTAAATGACATGACTTCATCATATCCATTGACAATTGCGTTGAAATGAGACAAATGTGTATGTCTAGGGTTGGGTAATGTTATTGCATGCGCTTGTGTGGTATTTTCATTTTGTAAGTGTTGTGTGGGTGTATGATACCATTATATTGTAACTTGCACGTATGTTTTTTGTCTGACGATATAGCCGTCGTTAGTTGCGAAACGTGTCACAAGCTTATGTCAGGAAATATATATACTAAGACGGAGCAACGCCTCGGAAAGCAGAGGATGCCAATTTTGAAGCCTATTTAAAGCATCCCTCGTCATAAGGATGCTGTCGAATATAATCCAAAAGCATCGGGCATGGCTTCGGGCCATGGCGCAGCTGCCTGGCAGGGGAAGGGGGGCATGGGAATTGGAGCCCCATATGCGCACGGGGTGGGAGCAAGCGTCAACTGCGTCAGGTTCGAGCGCAGGTTTCCACCGCGGTACTTCTGAATATACTTCTGTAATTTGGTGATCAAAACAGCTATTTTAGGTTTATATCTCATGCACACTACTATGGACAGCGACATATAAAGTCAAACACTCGTAATCTAGCAACAACACTAGTGGATAGACAAGGACCTAAGCACCTAACATCGACAGCTCATCGACACTTTAGCCGCTGTACCCACTGTCGTTTGTGGAGTCAGCTAGTGTGTTCGTAGTGCTTACGTACTACAAACAATGAACGGTGCGTAGGCACTGTCATTGTGTGTGGGACTCGCTCGTATGTAGATATCATATTCCCCATAACAAAACGCGGCAGACCATCCTGTCGAAAATTCTGGCTGCAGCCCCTGGCTTCCCCCCCGCCCCCTTATATGCATGTATGCATATACCCGTAAGTGTGACATACGCCGGAACGGACATGTTACTTTAATTTCGATCTGAGTCGACTCGTCGGCTTCTGCACCCAGAAGAGTCGATACAATGCCAACTGCGATTGAATTGTTCAAAGAAATCGATTCAGCCCCGACTCAACGAGGTTGCGGATATTCTGCTGTCAGATTCAACCGCTTGTGGTGGATTAAGGGTTGGGGAAGGAGTGCACAGCGGTCAACCCGCTTAATACAGGCTGTGATATCATTCCAAAAGTTGAACATGGCAAGGAACACCTATACACTAGCCTTACCTTCCCTCCCCCCCCCCCCCCCCCACCCAAGCTCCACGGAGGTACCACCACAGTCAGACTGATACAAGCCGAGCATGAGTTGGGCTTCCGCATGCAATGTGGTCTACGATGTATGAACATCCTAGAACTGCAAGGATCTTTGCACATGACAACTGAAAGCATCATTCGACCACCACAATAGCCTCATTCGCCGAATATAATAGCCTCATAGCCTCATAGGCGAAAACGGAAGCTGCATTTGACGGAGCACATGTCACAACCACTACCAGTGCCATAACCCTGGTAAAAAGCACAGCGATCCACACCAGTACGCGCCGCGATCACCTGACGCTATAATCTAATTCACCTGCATACAATGGCACTTACCGCTGCGTTTATCACAGGAATATCACAAAAAACCTCGACCAGGTGCATCTCCGAACGACACGACAACTGCGCCTTTTTTGACACCATTAATCAGCTGTCATGTTGCTAGGCAACACGTTTTGTCCCACTCGGTGGCTGTTGTTACGCAAATTGTGTTGAAAAATGGCTCCTCATCAACCGATCACCAAAAATCTCAACATAACCAAAACGGACACCCCTACCAACTGCATGAGTTTCAACCAAACTTTGGTTTCGGTTCCAAACCAATCGGTGGTAAAAGGTTTATTCAATGAACATTTCACCGCCCATCGAATCATTGCTACCAATATAAAAATATTCACCGCCGACTTAACGAAGTTGATAACCGGCGTGCCTACTTAAGTCACCAAATGCACGGATGAGATGTAAAGAATGAACGTTGCAAATAAGATAACCCCAGGGTTTCATCTTACAGGAAACAGGTGAAATAAATCGCCCACATATAGTTATAAATCAAAAGTTTGTGCCGGAATCTAGACTATTCAGCCCATCAGTAAAACACATCACATTTGTAAACCAAACCAGCATCAACTTGCGGTTGTTTTGATACGCAGACGCCATTATTCACATTGGAATCTGATCTCCACTGAGCGCAAGTCCATGACTAGCATTCAGTGTCGTACATACCTGCACATCAAGGGGCGCAGCCAGCTGATGGGGGTTGGGGGGGGGGGGGGCACCGGGAACATATCCCCGCTACACCCTAAGTGGCCTTCGGGACTCTCAGGAAATCGTGCTCACGAACTCCAGATGTGAACAACTCAGCGGTTATACCCTTATTGGTCTTGTTCGCTGCAAGGCTTGTAGAATGGCTGGATTTGCATGACGTTATCATCAAGTCATAAGTGCTAAGGTGACCCTGAAATACTCTACTCGAAAAAGTATCCCCATCTTCGCGGGCGTGTAGGTCAAAACTAGAGCGGTTTAGGTCTCAAGAAGGGCAGGGCCGTGAACTCACCGAATGATCTTCAAGATGGCTATTTCAGCTGTATAGATGTGGAACATTCCCTTTAATTGGGGAGCCTGTGTCGTCAAGGAGCTCTTGGTTGACCCGATGCACGTTTTGCTGAAGACGAACAGGACTGCACTCTGACTGTCAGGAAGTCACTTGCGTTGGTCGAGGTCCTCTTGCCTGACGTAGAATAGGCATACGAGGGCGTCATTGCAGCACTGAACGCACCTATAAAAAATGCTGGAACATGACTCAAAGATGCTTTCAGAGGCGTAGCTCCGCAGGATGAGTTGGGAGAGAGGGGTAACTGAATGGGAAATAGTCATGGGGCCTGCCCCCAAAATTACACGAACGAACGAGTTTATCCGCGGATGTGGCCCAATTTTTTCTCAGAATTGAGGGACTAGAGCCCATGTTGGGTGGTGGAGTGAGGGGAGTCTGGAGCCCCCTCCAAACTGAAAAGGAAACGAAACCTTAGGCTGTTTTGCATACGAGTGCACTTTTACAGGAGAGTGCACACGGGAATCGATTTGTATTCTTTTGAGTGGGCCACTGCCCCCTCTCCAAATGTCCAGTTTGCTACCCTTCCCAACTGCCAGTTTGGCCCCTCAATCTTCTGGAGGCAAATTGCTAACAGGACTTTAAAGATGGGAGCTTCAAAAATATATCAGTTTTAATGAAGATTTCATCTAATTATTTCACAAGTAAAAGGACAAAGAAGGCGCAAACAAAGGTGTCGTGTTCAGTTGAGTGGAGATGACCGAGCTAGTCACGTGTGAGAAGCTTCACGTTCGTACTCTGTTCACTTGAGTGTCTTCTGTTCTTCCTACATGCTGCATGTTTTCAATTACAACATAAAACGTCTCGTTGACTCCGACCTAGTCTTGTGCTATTGTCTGAGTGTTCTGGCACTATACCGTGATGCTCCAGGTTCCACAAAATGCAGTAACTTGCATTATCTTACCGCGGCATCTTATGGGAAATCGAAAACCAAGCGGTAGAACATTACCACCTAAAGACATGACCACTTCATAAGTCGTCTACGTTGAAAAGAACCTTTGAAATGTGTCAGCCTTCACTTCGACGTGAATATTTCATGGAGCAGTTGCACTTGCCAAAAACCTGGTGATCAACAGCAGCCAGCTTAAGTGATAGCGATAATTGTCCAGCAACCGGCAAAACAGCACTAGCCGTGCCGAGCATGTCTAACATGCATGCTGAGTTGTAACATGCACCCCGACTTGCAGCTACCAGCCGGAGGTTTATATGGCAGCCTTTGATAGGGTCGCACATTAACTACACTCTTTTCTCCCGAGGCCATACACTTCCAACAACGTCTGAAGCAACGTAACATCGACCCTAAGTCAATTACCGAAACATTGTTTTACGACGACAAATTCCAAACGAAGTGACTATGATGCTCAACGACAACATCTTCTACCCGAGACAGAGCGGGGAACATATTAAAGCAGGAAGGAAGATGCCTTCAGTATATTTCGGGCTAGGTTTTTCCTCTCAGCCCCTCTTCCACCCCCACCCCCTTCCTGTTTTGCGAAACACCCCGCTGTGGTGCGGGTTTAACGACTGTGACACACGACGGACTCGCCACCAGATTACTCTAGCGTCAGATATGGGGCAGAGGGCCAATTTCACAGCAGAGGCATAGCAGGAGCCCAGGATTTACACCAGCTGGGGCGTCGTCAATAAGGGCCCGTTTGTCAGTCATGGCACCACACTGCATAACAAGGGTCTTGTATTTGCAAGGAGCCCGCATTCGGCCAGGACAGTGTTCAAGGGACACACAGAGGAGCTCGAAGGACCTCTCGGGATCGACGACCAAGTGCCTGAATGAAGGGTACGGACGGCAATCTGTAGGTCACATTTAGGACCCCGGCCCGTAGGGTCAGGCCCTCAAAAATCCGCCAAAGGGCCTCTTGCACTGATTGAGGGCCCCTGGGACACTGAGGGCTTTTATTTGGGCCAAAGATCACCAACACTGAATAGCCGGCTCCATGTCGGTCTGAGCCCTGAAAGCCCATTCCCCAAGCAGGGACGAGGCTGGAACCCTCGGTTAGCATCGGTCGACAATTGGGAACCCCTGGGTCAGTGAGAGTCTTTTTGTCGGTCACGGACCCGCCGTGCCTAACAGAGGGTTTTGTATCGGCTACAAGCCCTGAGTCGGCCAGGGAAACGTTTGCCGAACAGGGACAGGGATAGGACCCCGAAAGCCAGGGTGTCTCTTGCGTCGGTCGGGGTCCTCTGACAATGAAGGGAGATATAATAACTTATGATGAGGGTACTCCATGAGACAATGGAAAACCACGGTGTCAGTCAGGGCCCCCAGTACCAAACGGGGTTAGTTAGGGCCCACAGTACCAAACGGTGTCAGTCAGGGCTCATAGTACCAACCCCGGTGTCAGTCAGGGCCCCCGGTACCAAACGGTGTCAGAGTCCCCAGTACCAAACGGGGCCGAACCCTATTTCAGCCTAGGGCCGTCGAACTGTATGTTGTCAAAGGCTCCGGGCCAATGATTTGACCACCTGCGACAATGAGGTTTCTTTTGTTGTGTCCATGAGGGCTCTTGCGCCGATCCGGGGCCAAATGCTCAGGTCAGGGGGCCTCTGGCGTCAGGCAGAAGACTAATGTATGGTTGGTCTCTCTTGGAGCTCTAGTATCGGCCAAGGGATATCGCTCCTTTATCGCCGGCATTACCGCGGCAGGCATCCCACGCTGCAACGGAATGGCCCCCTTAGTCCCTGACCGGAAAAAGAATGTGCTCCTAGTATTCTCCCCTCTAGTTTTGAGTGAATATGCTCGTAATCTTACACACAAGGGCACCGATGACCGAGATGCAGCGCCCATCAACTCAAGTGGCGTTGGCTGTTAAATTTAACCTCGGGCAACGGACGCGTGACGCGTGAGAACCGCCGTCGGAGAATAATGCTCCCGAACTTTTTTCAAAACCACTTGGAGCTGTTCAAAAATTAGGCTGCGCTTGTTTATATTTGAACCGCATGATTCCGGTATTGTCCACTCAACGGCGACAGAAGCACGAAAATAAAGATCTTATCTTCACTTATCTAGTTCCACCATTTGAGTCCAGCACCGGTTCGCGATTCAGTGCTAATCCTCTCCGTTCCGTTAATCTATGTCTCTTGTAAATAAAAAAAATCCACAGGTGAAGCATGTTTTTGGATGATCCCCTAAGCGTACAAATCGACAACCTAAGTCGTTCTGAGGTTCTCCTTTCAAAAACGTCGTATTCGTCTGGCCATTGGCCCCCGTTTCATGTTGGCCGCGGTCGAACGCCGCGTGGCCCAAGGAGACTGCAGCGTCGGGCGTCCGGGCTTTGTTCCAAGAATTGCGGGCGCAGAAAGTCAAAACTGTAATGTCATTGTTCCACTCCTCGATTCTGAGCAAAGGCTCAACATTCCCAGACGATCAGAGGTTGGCCATGTCAACACAAATAATCTCATTCAAAGTATGACCAGAACTGCGTCTTTCAGTGGCTTCTGACTTCCGTTTCAATTCAAGATGAATATTGAAATAGAACGAGGAAAGTCGTGCACTCAAAATCGAGTGGGCCAGTTCGATGCCTTTTTTGGGGGGGGGAGCGCCTTCACAAAGAGGGCCTTTGTCAACCATGTGTCTCTCCCCCACATTGCTAAGACTAGCTGCGCCCCTGCGTTGGCGAGCTCATTGATAAACATCGAGTATGTGTAAATAACTATAATCGCATGGCCACTGAAGAGCCATCTCAATTTGCAACGTTGCCAAAATCAATTTGCATTGCCTGCAACATTGTACTGACGGGAG